TTTTCACTTACGATTGCATTTGTTCTTATACGAATAATGAAATCTGTTCCTTTATACTTTGTTATGGTAGCTAGAAGTAGTAATAAGTATCTACGAGTGTATGAAGATTTTGATGGAGTAATAAAGCGAAAAGACTAAAATAAATCAGTTGTCATTAACGTCAGATCATTCTGCGTTAATTCAATTATCTTGAAACTTTTGGATTGGTAAAATGGAAGTTTTCAACTGTATATCCTACATTTATGATAAGGGTACAGCTTTTACGCCTTACAGACAACTAGATTCAATCAGACATATCCAAAAAAGCGATATTGAAATTGATTTGGATTGTACATTCACGAATAGTAGCTTTTCAACTCCAACTTAATCCTACAGGAAGAATATTGTTTTAATCAAAGTATGCTGTATGAACAACTGCTTTACTATACTCGTATGCTAGGTAATTGTGAAGTACTGCTGCTCTTTGATAGGCGATTTAGAATTACAAGATATTACGGAGCATTACTAGTGTTATTTAAAATTATGAAGCGGTCTATGACTAAAAAGATAATTTAAATAGATGAACCGCTTTTAAAACCTTAATCTGATAAAAATACATGGTATATCACTTACTTTCTTATCGGTTGATTCATGCTTCTGTCCAAAACAGCAATACGGCTTGATTCATGCATGAAAGCATTTCTCCCTTGTACACTTTCAGTAGTTGAATTTAACATTATGATTTAGGACGGCGGGCAAATGTGAACTAGATGCAGTAAAATATGAAATGGGACCAGACGGATAAATAGTCTGCTTAAGTAATTCTGTCAATAACTGCAGAAATGACGAATGGTTTAATAGAATAAATAATCTCAGTTGATATGTACCAGAGTTACAAAATATTAATACCAGCTAAAGTCCTATGGCAGATGATATATTATCGAAGCGCTGCTATACTCAGCACCGTACTATATATTGTCGTCAGCGTTTTATGTTACGAAGTAAATTGAATAGCAACTAATCAGTTAATGAACTAAATTATAGTTAACTACGCTCAATTCGTCTTTCATCTTCACCTTCTTGAACTGTAAATGATCCTATGTAAAACATACTTCTCGTAACATCAGACGTTTGCTAGTAAATATGTACATATTTCATATTGTAATTTGTGTTAGTAATGTACAGTATGCAAGAATTCAATCACTACAAGAAAACATAGTATACTGGCGATTTTGGCCCGTTATAGCAGTTAACTATGTTGCAGTATTGTTCAGCAGTAACCGTTATTTTTTATTTCTCTCTTTTGTTTTAACATTACTATATTTTATAGTGGTATAACAGTAGGAAGGAACAGACTTGCAGACGCACGGACTATCGTGGCAACAGTCCAAATGATATTAATGCTGTTTTTACCGTTAACAGATACAGCATTCTATGCAATATAATCAACGTGTAAATAGACATCACCGTTGCTATCCTCAACGTCTTAAATTCAATTAAAGCTAAAAGGCAATAACATAATACACGTAAATTTATATGCGTGTAAAAGGCACATTGCTGTTGTCGTCCTTACGGTCTTAATTAAATTTAGATAACAGTAAAAATAACAACGCAACATACAATAAAAGTGGAAATATACATCGCGGTTGCCGTATTTAGGGTCTGAAGCATAGAATAGAATTAGTTAACGGTAGGCATAATAAAACAACATATGATATATGTAATGCATATGCATGCATAGTTATTGATGTTGTTACTGTTTGAAATCAATTGAGTTAACTGTAAAAACAATAACATAACATACAAAGTACATGTAAATACACATCACCGTTGCCATCCTTACGGTTTAAAACTAAGTAATAATGTAATAAATGAAGTGATAAAAATTTTGCGGTTAATTTAAAGTGAGAGCAGAAGACGGTAGCACTGTATAATACCCTCATCGTCTATGCACACGAAGATAGCATCTACTACAGTTCATCAACAGTAGAATAACTTGTAAAATACGGTATTAAATACACAGTTCATTCAGGATATTTTTTGTATCTGCACAATCCGTGGTTGGAGACTACTGCTACCAACTGAAGACTACAATTCTTGAATAGAAGGCTAGCAAAACTGCTGGCCGTACACTCGATTCTTACGGATTATACAAAATGCAGGAGGGAGCGTTGTGTTAGCAGCAGTATAATTGCGCCGAATTTACAGTAGTAAGCAGTAGGACATTATTGGTAGAAATTGGCCCAAGCTAAGCAAACTATCTACTGCACTGCTGAGTAAATGTTAAAAGATAAAATTTATGACAGTCTATTCTGCTTTCATATAAAATACTGTATCAAATACTGCGAGGAATACTGGCATTGGCATAATCTTCAGTTGGTCATTACTGCTATCTAAACACTAAAATTCTAAAATTACTTCATAAACAATTAGTAGTTTTGCCGGTCATACGTATATAAGATACTATATACAAACAGACAGTAATTCACAATTGCAATAGTGGCCATTATCTTTTGTACTCAAAAATATATCAATTCACGACTATAAATTTTAAACTATGAAAGTTGGCAACGGTGAATTAATCATTCTGTATTATGGGGCTTCATTGGCTCTACTCACTAATAAAGATTCATAAGTAATGTAAGTAAAATTTTGGATTGAAATCGATTATGTTCTAAAATTGCTTCTTAGAATTTTCAAGTATAAGGGGATTTGTACACGTTGGATTGATTTATATCTGTTTGTCATCTACGGTAAATTTTGCAGACAAGTTGAAATCTCTATTGCCATTCTAGCGTTCTACTAGACTTCCTGTAGACTTAAGTGTTCTCCGAAGGGTTAAGAAGGGTAATCGCGACTAATCGTATGATATCTTTTGAAGAATTTACATACATGCAAATATTCTGGGAGCTAATAAACACTATTATAACTTGATAACAACTGATTTCCTTGTTATTCAATACCTTTCAAGATTCAATATTTTAGCATCGAATATGATCTAATTTCTGTGGTTACGCAATATGGCTATATAACAACGTCATCAGTAAT